ACTGGGCGGGGGCGCCGAGATGACTGCGCGGCCGCGGCCGAGCTCCGGCGGACACAGCGCTGACTAGGTGGCGGTGGCACCCCCATTCCCGGCCCTATAAGCGCCGGGTGCCGCCGCTTCTTCCGGTCGGGGCGGGGCTGAGGGGCGGGACCAACCTGGGAGCGGGGCGGAGGCCGAGAGGGGCGGTCCCAAGTGGTCTGGGGGCGTGGCCTGAGAGGACTAGGGCGGGGCTGTCCACTGGGAGCGGAGCGGGGAGCGGTGGGGAAGGACGGTCCCGAGTGGTCTGAAGGCGTGGCTTTGGGCGGGCTGGAGCGGGGGCTGTCCTTGGGGGCGGGGCGAAGTGGGAGGGGCGGTCCCGATTGGTCTGTGGGCGTGGCCTGGGTGCACTGGGGCGGGGCTGTCAGTGGACCGCGGGGCGGGGCCGGTTTCTGCCCTTAGCCCTGAGCAGCGGCGGAGAAGGGCGCCGCCCCGGCGTCCGGCGTCATCGAGTCCTCTGCTATCGAAGCGAGAAGGTAGTCCACAGACAGAGAGACCCGACCACTCCTCTCTCCCGGCGGCCACGGGGCCGCGGGGCCCTCACAGTGAAATTTGATCGAGAGAAAGGCCTGACCTGGGCGGTTCCGAGTGCCCTCTTCCCCTTCCCGCCGCGGGGAATCGGCGAGGACCCCGAGGAGCCTGGCGGCGTCCCGCAAGCGCGCCTTAAAGCCCGCGCGGCGCTGCCGAGCCCGCAGCCCAGGGCCCAGCTGTGCCCCGTCCGACGCGAACGGCCCCTTTCTTGCCTTCTTTGCCCTGCAGAATTCCCTCAGGGCACGGCCAGAGGCCGTCAGTCCCCTGTGGAGTGAACCACAGCCAAGTCATCCACCAGCAAAAATTGTAAGGAAACTATTTGGGCTACTTGAGTGGTGTGTGTTTTTATGACATCTGTCCATGTGACCGCGTGAAGCTTGCGGTGGCGTGTCACAGCTCGTTGGAGGAGTGGGTGGTGGGTTGAGGACTCCTACAAGGTCTATTTGAGAATTGAGGGCTATTAATCAGAATTAAAGAGCCTAGTAACTATTTGGTCAGAGGATCTCAAGCTGCCCTCCACTAAATTGGAAGGTGAAAGACATATTGTCTGTAATAAGAGAAAAAGCCACTGGGCGTGGTGGCACACTCATGTAATCCCAGAACTCGGGAGGCTGAGGCAGGAGCATCCCCCAAGAGTTCAAGGCCAGCCTGAACTACATAGTGAGACCCTGCCTCTAAATAAATAAATAGATAAATGAAAAACAAAGACTCGGAGTACACAGGAAAGTATCTCAGCCAGGTGTGGTGGGGCATGCCGGTAATCCCAGAACTCTGGAGGCTGAGGCAGCTGGGTCACCGCGAGTTCGAGGCCAGCCTAAAGATCATGGCAAGACCCTGTCTCAAAACAAAACAAAAAGTATCTTATACGTTATTCTCTATTTTTTCCTGACTTGCTCACGTGACAGCCTAAGAGTTTTCAGGGTTCAGGAGAAAGAGTGAGTAGCCAAAAAAAAAAGAAAAACCCAGAAGCAGCAGGGGAGTGCACTGTGGGTCAGGCGTACCAACTGCAACAGCCAGAGATGCTCACAGAAGCCCGGATCCCACAGACTTCCCCATTCCCAGCTCCCTCACTGGCTCACAGCTGGGGGACTGGTCCTCCCCACGCGGAGAATCCCAACACACCAGTTTAAGAGTGGGCAAAATCTCGGGAACTGTGAAAGCTGTAGACACATTTTGGAAAGTTACTCAAATGTCTAGCTGCAAACAGAGGTTTGGGATCGGCAGAGGGAGGTGGAGCAACAGCAGGCCAGCACACCTGAGCTCGGTGTCCAACGTCCAGGGGGAAGCTGCAGCCGCAGGACAGGGCGGCACTCTGGAATGATTACCTGTCCAGATTGCAAGCTGACAGCAAGGCCTGTCAGACCACATGCTTGAGTTAAAAAAAGAAGTGGAAAACAGTTAAAAGAAGAAGTGGACAACAGTTACAAACTGTTGTCAAATCCCCTCTCTCGCGTATTTTCTTGCACATGGCACGTCTGGGAGGGAAATTCACCGTGCCGAAACTCTGGCAGCCCTCGGTCAATTCAAAATGTCACTGTGACCCTGTAGAAGCAGCAGATGAAACATGAAGGCGAGTGCTGACCTCAGTCTGACTCATAAATCAGCTTAAAGGTCCTAGAAGCAAACAAAAATCGTCCAGGGAACCTGGGCCAGGCAGGTACATTTATGTTGTGTTCACTTGGACCAAATGTCCAGGCCTTAATTGTGCTGTTACACCATCTCAGGATTGCTTATGCTGCTCTCAGGTTGTTTGTAGGCTTAACCAGATGTTTCGATTTGTGTCAAGCTGTCCTCCTAAAGCCTCATGAGGTTGTAGGTGGGGCTTTTACAGAGGCGGCTGGATCTAGAGTGTGCGACACTGGAATTGATTGATGGTGCGATGCTGGGATCAAGGGCACAAGGATTAAGTGTGTGAGTGCTACTGGCCCTAAATAGCCCGGATGAAAGATAAGGAATAGAAAGAGCTGTGGTCGTCCCTTGTTGCTCTGCTGCCTTCTGCCTGCCATGAACTGATTCTCTGTGACGCCTGTCTGCCGTGCCTCCCTGTCTTGGAGCCGGCTGATTATGGATTGAAACCTCCACAAACTGTGAGCTAACTACACTTTCCTTCTTTAACTTTGGGTGTTGAGTATTTTGTCTCAGCAATTAAAAAAGCGACTAAGACATCAGACCACATGCTTCAGGTACTTTACTTCTCTTTTTTATTTTTATTTTATTTTTTGTTTGTTTGTTTGTTTGTTTTCCGGTACTGGGAATCAAACTCATGACCTTGCGCTTGCCAGGCAGGCGCTGTGCCACTGAGCTAAATCCCCAGCCCCCAACTTTACTTCTCTTGATTGGTGAACCAGACTGGTAAGTGCTGGTTTTACCTATGGGGGCATTGCCCCTAATCTTGGTCTCCTGTCAGGACCTGCTTTAGACAGCTTTCCATTTACAATAAAGCAAAATCTGGCATCACTGGTAGGTAGAGAAATGAAAATATTTTGCAGGGTGCTTTTTGAAGTGGATCTGCCCACATAAAAAAACATGAAAATGAGTAGTAAATGACCTTCCGGAAGTCTCATTAAATAGCATCCACGAGCTGACCATGGTGGTGCATGCCTGTAACTCCAGCTCCTGAGAGGCTGAGGCAGGAGGGTCGCCATGAGTTTGAGACCTGCCTGGGCAAAATAGGGAGCCCAGGCCAACCTTTTAGACCCTGTCTCAAAAGATAAAATAAAACAAAATAGCATCCACTAAACAAAGCCAAGGTCATGGTCTTGGTGTGTAAAACAAGCCCTCCTTTGCCACATTAAAAAAGATATACACACTTTCAGGTTCAACAAAGACTGCAGCAGGACCTAAATATGCCTAGGAGGTGGAAGAAAATAAATTTTTAAAAACTCATTTTCACTTCTCTTTGAACAAGTGGTTCCCAAAATTGGAGAGTTTAAAAAAAAATTCAAACACTTTTTTGTGCCCAGTTCCTTTACTGACTCACAATCCCCGGGAGGCAGAACCCAGAAACCCGCCCAAGACTCTCTCTCCTGAGATCCTGTGTGAATGCCTGTGACCAATAATCCTATTTAGTTTAGTAAACGTTGCCCTCTAGTGGAATAATTATGACCTACATCCTAGACCTGGTCCTAGAGTTTAAAGTGTGTACCTATCTCATTCGTGTTTTAAACGCCTCATGAGGAATAACTAGATTCCTGGATCTTGGGTGTCCTCCGTCACCTGTGGAAACCAGAATATCATTCTACAATGGTTGTCAGGTTGACTTGCAAATAGCTATTCAGTAAGACAGCAGCTACTTTTCAAGGAGACTTGAAAAATTTGTAAAACCGGAAAGAGGTCATATTTGAAAGCTCAAGGGAACAACATCTTTATCAGATAAATCAAGTCAGATTTGTTTTGGTACTTTGCTGCTGCTGCTGGTAATTCCAAACGAACTTGAAGCATGTGTGGGGTAGTTATGGGACTGAAAAAAAAAGAAACACAAGTCAGTCTCTGATAGCAAGTTACATTTTTATCTCCTTCCTGTCCTAATGTTGAAGGGTAATTTTAAAAACTACTGTCAGCCAGGCGTGGTGGCGCATACCTGTAATCCCAGCACTCAGGAGGCTGAGGCAGGAGGATCGTTGCAAGTTCGAGACCAGCCTGGGCTACAAAGTGAGCTCAAGGCCAGCCTGAACTGCATAGTGAGACCCTGTCTTAAGAAGACAAAAAAATAAAATAAAATAAAAAACTGCTGTCACTGGGAACAGTTTGGTTCTTAGGTAAACAGAACTTCAGCTCTTCCTGTTCTAGGATGACTGGATTAGAAAAGATTGTGACATTCATTCTGAGAACTTCTGTTTACCACAGAATCATACGTACTACTGCACACACTTTCTTATGTTGCAAAAGGCCTTATTTCTTATTATCAAGGTTACCGTTTTTTTTACCCTTTGCTGTTGTTTAGCAATGTGCAAATACTTGCTTTATAGGGTCATCTTGCATAACAATATGAGGTGGGTATCATTAAGCCCATCTTATATATGACATACTAAAATTTAGAAAGTTTAACAGCACAGTTGGAAAGATACAGCTAGAAAGAGCCACAGCCTACATTAGAATCCCGTGATCCGTTTAACTGCAAAGTTTGTCTAGGTAACCCTCGATGATACGACACATCCCACCATTAACAGGTTGTTCTTGCCCTAGTATCCAGCATTATGACAAGGTACCATTGAGTGACGGCAAATGTAGTTATTGTCCCAGACTGGAATTTTCTAGAATACAGTTGTCCCCGCATAGCCATGAGAGATTGGTTTCAGGATCTCCCTATCTCCCTGCAGATATCAAAATCCCAGGATGATACTCAAATCCCTTATATAAAATGCTATGGCTGGGCGTGGTGGCACACACCTGTACTCAGGAGGCAGAGGCAGGAGGATCGCTGCATGTTCGAGGCCAGACTGGGCTATAGAGTGAGTTACAGAGCGAGACCCTGCCTCAAAAAGCAAAACAAACAATGCCATAGCACTTGCATAACCCTATGTGTATCTCTCTGTGTACTTTAAATCATCTCTAGAT